AAACACAGTAAGTAGTGTGAGTGTCATTGTGGTGGATGAGAGAGAAAAGCACTCTTGCCGAGTCAAAAGGCTCTCCGATCTGTTCAGTCGTACGAGCTCATTCAAACGGACTCCGAGAATCATCCAAATCCAACCAGAACAGAGATTTTGAGGATTCGGGAAGCTTACCTGCGAGAAGCCATTTACTCCACGCATCTCCGTAGAAAGATTCGAGACTGAAATGACTAATTAGTATGGCCTCGTGATCGTGGTTCAGATCTATCCTTTGGAAGATCCAGGACACTACAGACACGGCGAGCGAGTGTTTATTTATTCAGAAAAGAAGAACGGGCCCGGTCAAAAGCTTTAAATCGTCTGGTGAGCTAGAAGAAAGGACAGACTCCGGTCATTGTCATGGACAGAAATGTACTGAAAGCTGCTGGTGGTGAGTTCAGTTGGGGGTTTGAGCTCAAATCATACTTCTGGTCCTGCTAGTGAGAGCAGACGTACACATCAGATGACCTCATCAGATTCATCGCAGACAGTGATATTCTCTTCCTGCTCTAATCCTGGGGGGGCTCGCTTCCCTCGACCACACAACGTTGCACTTCAGTCTATGAGCTGACAGCAGGCTGTCCTGCCATAGATCCTGACATTCTCAAATCGCCACAGAGCTGTACGAGGGCACTGCTAGAACTGCAACTTCTAGGTAGCATACAGAGCAGCAGCAGCAGCAGCAAGTCTTGGGCGCCAACGAAGGGAGGAAGGAGGAGCACATCGCAGAGGCCGAGCGAGAGATGTTGTCGATGCATCGAGTCTACGATCGAGGTGTGAACGAACCATCTGATGGTGATCGCCGTGACATGACCTCAACCTGCATGAGACAGACAGGTAACGTCCATGGCATCTCCATTGGACTCGACCATCGTGGTCAGCAGCTCGAAGACCGCGCTCATGATGCTTCCTTCCCGGTCGAGATTGAATGAATGTTGCGGTTCTTTTTATTCTTCAGTTACTGATAGGTGATCCAACCCTCGAGATAGGGCTCCTGCTCTTGAAGTCTACCGAGAATTTTTTTTATTTGCCGCATGAGCAGCAGAGTTCAGATGCCGCATCGCGTTGTTGTACAAGTTGCGGAGCTTTGCGAGCTTCAGCAGCAACAAGTTGCCCATGGCCGAATCTTGTCAGTTCAGCTTTAATATTACGGGACTCGTTTTGCATGCCACCCGTCTCTCCACGTCTGTCTAGCTAGATTCGAGACCTCTGAGTGCCTTTCATTGTCCATGAATTTGTGTTGCCTTTGAGAATTTATCCGGAAAGTCCTTTCGTGCTCGATGCATGCAAAATACTTTCATAGTGAAAACTTCACGAGGAATCACTGTCGGTCAGAACGCAAGATCGATGAATGGCTTCGCTGCAATTGCTTTGAGCTCGATTCATGAGGATTTTCTCCTCGGAAATGGTGGACAAGCAAGATCCTCCAGGACTGAAAGATTGTGAATCTACATTTGACTGGCCGGAACTGATTTTTTATTAGTGTGGAAAAGGATAATTCGAGGGACGAACCAAATGTTCAAGGAAGAACCAGAACCACACAGCCCATAACAAAGCTTACATATACTTAATCGAATCCCACAGGATTCGATTGGCACCGTCCTGCTGTTCATTTGAATGCATATAAACTACTTTCTGGATATGAGAAGTGTGACCCTTGTGAGGAAAAACCTCCTATCATATTTCATTTGATTTTCTTGAAATGAAAAACAAAAATGGTGAATATTCTTATCAAGTCTTGTGGTGGTGGAATATCCTCATATGTATCAGCATTGTAAAGAATGTGTACCATGTGGATAAATGATAAAAGTAGAAAATGTACGGGAACACCCGGAAACCAAGGTGTAGCCTCGATAAATCACAGTGTTGACTATATGCTTCAACTATACTCGAAGATATTTAATGTTATCAGTCTACTATGTATCAGTCTACTATGCATAACATTAATTAGTTAACGTTCTCCTCATGATAGACAAAAATTGCTTTACAAAAGTTCACAAATTCTACACAATACTTATATGGAATAATCATTCAAGAAGTATGTAAGTGGTGAGACTTACTAGAATGCATTTGATTATAATTTGTGAATACGAGTGTGTGACCAAACATATAAGTACAGAGACCTGACGAACGCTGCATTGAAATAACCTTTTGTAAATACAGGTGTGTGAGCAAGTTGAATACACGGAGTGTGCAACTGTGGTACTCTTTCTCTTGCTTGAAACTATACACGACATCTCCCCAGTGTGCTTACTGGTAGGAAGACATACTCATAAGGTATCTTCTTTGCACATGAATTCTTTGTAAATAGGATACATATCCACTCCAGAGGATGATCAGCTTGCTACAAATGCATGATCCAGTTACAGTGAGAATGAATTATTGTTAAACTCTTATACTAACACATCCTGTGCGATGCTATCAGATGAAAAGCTGAGCTGAGCTGAAATTGGCATATAACAACTGAGCAAAATCAAGGAGTTTTGAGTGTGAGGGGGATGGTGGGACAGTGTGAGGATGCCGAGGGCTTTGTCATATGTTGTGCTTCGCTGCGTTTTCCGCATGGCCGTTGTCAATCATTTTGTCTGTATTTTTTGGGTTTCTACAAGGACACTTGTTATCATAGTCAAAACGTCTGCTGGACTTTTTTGTACTGTACTCGAGTGACCCCCGTATGTGGTGACGGTAGATTCACAGAGAGTGTGTAAGCTTTCCTTCTGGACGCCTGCTGCAGGCCACCAGCAGCATCATACAGTACCAATATTTTTCGTGGATAGGACCCAGCAGCGGGTTCATAACAACTTGGAACGGGTTGAATTTTAATTTGAACGTAACTCTGCAGGTTCTTGCTGTCCTTGAACCTGTCAGAGAATCAAAACAGTGAATGACATGGCATCGCGCCGGTACCAATAGTGAAACTGAGAATCCAAAAGGTTTCCATACAGGTCGAGCTCTAGTCATGGCTTTTGTACACACATGCAGCGGTGGGCAGCAAACCAGTTGTACTACTATGGCCGAACTTACTGACGCCACTAACACCGCAGACAAACCCACCCAACTCGCCCCAACTCTAACTTGCTGAGGCAGCACAACCCCTGGAGTTGGAACATTCAACCCTCAGTGTACCTGCTACCAGACCAGACCGAACGGAACCACGAGAGAACAGAACAGATGGAGAAAATCAATCGTATTTCGTGCATGGACTGGAGGGGAAGTAGTAGTGAGGAGGTATCGTATTTCACACTCGAGGGGAGTGTACAAGGAAGGAGGTAGAGAGGAGGGACGGAGCACGGTTCTCATTGGGCATGATACTGACTCTACTGATACCCAAGTGGTCATAGACTGGCTAGGCCGGCTCTTGTAATTCCGTGACATGTCGATGAGAAGCACAAGTGCATTGTTAATTGTAGTGTGGTGCCACAGGGGTTCCGGAATATAAGGGTCTGCCTTTCGACACGAGGGCAGTTGTAATTTGGGTGTCATCACTCGTGATCTAAGAACTCACTTCACCGCGTGTGGTGACTCTGTCTGTAGTCAGTGTCATGGACCTGAGCTGAGCTGAGCTTGGCTTGGCTGGGTTTGCTGCTGCTGCTGCTGATCTAGCCCGTAGCTAGGAGTCTGATCCCAGCCGAGCCTCAGAGCCTCAGACGATCAGCCGTGCCGTTACAATCATGTTGTATAATGCTCGACAAGGGCTCCGCAGGGGAGGGGGAGGGGGAAAAGCAGGGGTCGCTGAGCAGCTGAAGGAGGAAGGAATGTCAGTCAGGACCGCTTCTACAGCGACTGGGTTGAGGGAGCTACTGACTGATGAACGTAGATGTACACGGCCTTCGCGTTGCCTGCTCGCTCTGCCTGCATCTCTCTCGGGTTAGGTTCGAGAAAGAGGCTGGCTGGGAGGAATGTCAATTCGCTGAATATGATTTCGCGAGATACCTGACTCAATTGAATGTTCCCTTTCTGTGAGTATGAATGATGCCACATCGTACTACTAGACTAGCGTTTCTGTCCTTTTCCGCTTTCAGATTTGCCTCAACTATCCATTTTCCCAGATCGTGCTGTTCTCGTGACAGGTAGACAGGTCGTCATGAGGATAGCGAATTTTGCACAGTGAGTTAGATCTGTGGCCATAGACTGTCTACAGACGCGTGTAGCTCCTATTATTATACAGCAGGCACAAGCCATCGCTTTCTCAGCTAGTCTTAGGCACGATGCATCAGACCTGCCACCAGTTTGGGAAGCAGCAGCAGCAGCAACTGTGGATCGATCTCCTAACTTCCGATTGTGCACCGCTCATGCCCGTTCTCACCCTCGAAGACGCGGCATCCTGACTCGGTGAGCTCGTTAATGCATCTCGCTGGAGTTTCCATGCTTCCGATTTTGCCGATCTCATTATCTGACGTAGCAGGAAAGTCGCTCTTTGCACACTGCAGCCACTGAAAGCAACCACTTCGGGTCGGTTATGTTCGGTCATGCAGAAAAGTAGCTCCTTCGACACTGGGCAAGCTCAAGGAGAGAGAGAGGACTGTCATAGCATACAACGTCAGGGGAGGACTGGTGCTATCATTCATCACACCTACCTCCATCTAGTTTGAAGGCAAGGTACACACATGGTGTCCTCCCGTGGGTCTGACCTTCACAGAGCACCGACTTCTACCACTCACCTGTTCACAAAACTTCTCATCATGGATTGAAGTCATGGAGGTGGTTTCCCTACAGTGCATGGAGGTGCCTCTCTGCAGGCAGCCCCGGTGTGGAGTCGCATCCATGTCGTGCCCGAAAGTCTGGGACCGTTCTGTGTGCCTCGGATGAAGAGATAAGACAAGCAAGCCTGTGTAGAATACAAAGGCCGGCCCCGGTTTGACCCACAGCATTGAGCATACGTACCCTAGAGTAGACACCATCTAGTGCGAAAGCGACACGCTTGTCACGGCATATAACTCAGATTCTTGAACAAAGTCCACTAGCATCCAACGTGAAGTACAGTAAGCAAATTAATGTGATACCCTCCGAGCATCCCGGGGATTCAGGGACTCTCGGTTCAGACTCTTGAGAAACAAAATAAAAACTACAAGCCTGAGGCAAAGAACCAGAATACACATTTCTCCAAGCACTGCAATTGGATCAACACGGGAATTCTTTCTGGATTCCGGTTTGCCATGCACTTTTATCAACTGCCAAAGCAGAAACAGTTATTCTAGAGAAGTAATGCTATCCAGTGAAATGCGTGACCTGTTCGACCGCGTTTGCCACGAGGGTCAAATCAGCTTCACCCACACCCTGTCACTTACTTCTCAGAGCTGTGACTGATCGCAGCATATCATAAGCAGGCAGCAATCGACGAAATTTGATGACAATCATTTGTAGCAATCGAGAAAAACACCCTCAGTATCGACTCGGGTAGACGCAGCTTGAGAGAATGATCCTTTTACTATGCTTTCTGACTCCGAACAAGTTACAAAAAAACATGAAAAATTCTTCTGAGATCTCCTCAAACAATGGCGGTAGGCGCCTTTCCGTTTTTGTGAAGCAGAACATTAACTACGAATTTGTTTCCATAGAAGCTTGACGACAATTCTACGCCACCTAGAGAAAAAAAAATATGAAAAGGACTATTTTGTACGACTATTTTGTAGTTGATATCGGCGGCAAAAATTTCGGAATACTAACTTGGCTGCACAGCTCCATTAGTTCCTCTCTATACAAGATGTACATTTTTCTTTGGTAACAAAGCAGCCCTTTGCCCATCGGAGTGTACTAATATCAATGGAACTTTCTTGACATTTTGATTGATAGCTGAGATTCGGTTCTCAGTTGAAAGAGATTGCTTCAATTTTGCGAGGCAATTGGGCCAATGAGCCAAGCCTCTTTGTTGGTGCAGACGTACAGAAACCCACATGCTAGACATTTATCCAAATAGTGATTGCCTCCGCCTCCATTTCTTATGAAGAAGCTTCATGATATTAGCAATGAAGCTTCGCTTTTGCTGCTTTTGCTTCGCTTCGCTTCTCGACTTCAATCAACAGCACGTGCACAACTCCATGTTGTACGAAAGGTTGTCGTGCTTTCCCCATTTTGCCGAAGGCATCGCAAAAAAGTGGTTCCCTGCCTGCCTCCAATTCACATCCCATCTGCCGGATCAGATCTTCTTCCAAGGAAGAGCTCAGACTTTTCTTCTACTGCTGCTGCTGCATCATTCAGGCCATCTCAAGGGGGGCTGCCTCCACCTTCCCGTTCGTACTGTCCGCTGCGTGCCATAATTTTGGGTTGGGTCGTGTTGGATTGGATTGGACTGGATTGTATGGGGGTGGGCGGGGAAGGCAAAGAGCGGCTCTGCTCTGCTCATACCTCCACAGCACACAGAGCTGGGAATGCACCCACGAACTTGACAGGGCACTGGACTCTTTGCCACACGAGCCGGGAACCGGGCAATCCGAAGCCCACGGTTTTCAAGAGCGTGCACCCTCGGTCGCACTCGTCGCCCAGACACACCATGGCGAACACCTCGTTGTCCACCGCGGCCACCGAGAGCACCAAGCAGGGCGAGGAGCCATCGCCGGAGGGCATGAACCACGAGTCCTTGTACACCTGCTTCCAGGAATTCGACGAGGCTTCGAACTTCTCCACGCCCAGAGTGCTGAAGGAGTAGAGCTGGCCGTTGACGACGGTGCAGGCCTGCTCGTCGTACTCGTTCTTCATGTTGCCCAGCTGCCGCCACTCCTTCTTCGCTGCGTCGTACACCTCGGCGGAATTGGCCCACTCGGCATCGTCGTCTTCGGAATCGTCCAGCTCCTCGTACTGCGCGGCCAGGTCCTCCTCCGACTCCGACAGCGTGTACCCTCCGATCACATACATGTTTTTGTCCCAAATCGCCACGGTACAGCAGCTCCGAGGGCCGTGCATGTCCTGCACAGCTTCCCAGACATTGAGCTCGGGGTCATACACTTCGGCATTCGACAGCGCGCACGACACATCGCTGTGCCCGCCGGCCACATACACCTTGCCGTCGATCACCCCGCAGGCGAAGCTCGCCCGCGCGGTGATCATGTTCTGGCAATGCTGCCACACGCCGCTGCCGGCGACCAGATCCAGCATGTACACCTCGCGCCGCGGCTGCCAGGTCTCCTGATCGCGGCCCCCGAGCACGAACAGCTTGCCCTTGATGCACACCAGCTCCGAAAACAGAGGGATCCCGCACCCGACCTCGGGGATGGGCGGCAGCTGCTGCCACGATCCGTCGCACGGATTGTGCAGCGACAGCGCGTAGGCGAACGTCTCGGGCACGGAGCGATCCTTGAGCTCGTCGTCGTCGTCGTCGCCCATGAGCGTGTAGGTGTACTCGGGCGCATGGAACGACTCCATCGAGATCTCCTCCACGGCGCGCATGAATGTCGTTTCCTCCTCGTCCTCCTCGTCCTCGTCCTCGTCCTCCTCGTCGTCCTCCTCGTCCTCTTCCTCGTCCTCCTCGTCCTCTTCCTCCTCCGAGTGCGGGCACGCCAGCGTCACGGGCGGGGGCTTGGGCGCCCGCACCTTGTGCAGCACCGCCACCAGCACTTGCGTGCACACCGTTCGGATGCGCGCCTGGTACACCTCGCGGCTTTGAATTGTGGCGCGCCACGCGCGGCTCACCGACGACAGCGTCAGCAGCTGCTGCCATGAAACCTTGGTGAAGATGCAGTCCAGCACCAGCTCGTCGGGGATTCCCGGAATCAGCATTCTCTCCATCCACACCTCTTCGTCGTCGCCGCTGCCGCTGCCGCTCTTGAACATGTCCTTCAGCTTGCACCAAATCTCCTGCTGCTGCTCTGCGCCGTCCCCGTCTGCTGGCCCTTGCCCTTGCCCTTGCTCTCGCTCTTGCTCTTGCTCATGCACTTGCTCTTGCTCTTGCTCTTGCCCGTGCGTTCTCCCGAGATCTCGTTGCTGCTCCTCGAGCTCCTCCACGTGCTTCGACCCCTCCATTATCTCATCAGTTTACTACGATAATTCGATCGATTCACGGGCCCCAGTCAAAATTGAATCGGTATCACAGCCGATCTCTCCACAAACCTCCTCTCGCCGACGAATCTTCAGATGCTCTGCTCCCACGGAAGGCCGGGGCGGGCTGAAGCCTTCGGCCAGGCTCCTTCTCGCACTGATATGAGGGATCCGAGAAACGCTGATAGGCTCTCTATCTGATCTAAGAGTCCGCTCCGGCGACCCACAACTTGTTCTCCGGTTCCGAATGCGGCTCGGCGGTGGTGCGAGTTGGCTGGCTGGCCGCTGCTCTTCTTGAGATCCGAGTGCGGGCCGTGCCACTGGACCTCTTGTGCAAGTTTCTACTTTCGTGGTCGACGAGGCGATGTCAGGGGTCGTGGTGGTGGCGGTAGCGGTGGTGGTGGTGGTGGTGAGATGGTGATGGTGAAGGAGGTAGAGGTCGCGAGAACAGAGATGGATGAGCGAGAGATCGAGACAGAGTGAGAGAGAGGGAGAGGGAGAGAGAGATGGACAGGCGAGGGGAGAAGGGAAGGAGAGGGGAGGGGTCAGGCAAGAAAGCACGAAAGAAAGAAAGCCGATGAGAGGAGGAGGTGCTTGCACAAACCGCCCTGCGTCCTCTTCCTGCCTCGCAAGGTGCGCGAGAGCACAGGGAGGGGTGCTGGTAGCGGTGAAGAATCAGGATCTATTGATGATAAATGTGGTCCCAGCAAAAGGTCTACTGTCCGAGAGCAGGCATCAACATGAGCATCTAAAATTGAGATGTACAAACAAACACACGACCGCCTGATCCAGGATCGAAATTAAAGCCTCCCAGCCAGGCCCGGCCGGCCAGACCACTTCAGTTCAGTTCGGTTCGGTTCGGTTCAGTTCAGTTCAGCTGCTACTGCCGCTGCTATCCATCCGTCCGTCTTTCTTCCGAGACCTCCAAAGTCCTCGACCTCGTCCTCGTCCTCCTCTTCTCCTCTCTCTCTCGCTCTTGCCCTCCCCTCCCCTTCCCCTTCCCGTCAAAGGGCCTGAGTCACGAGACTTTTCCTTTCTCGAGCGAGAGCGTACGTTCTTCTTTCCTCCAACTGAATCCTGCTGCTGGCTTTGGCTTTGGCTGGCTGGTTGGCCGGGCTCGCCTTTCGTCTCCTGGCCTTTTCCCTCCCTCGCTCCCCACCCACTTGCTTTGTTTCTTTGATTGTACCCCACCGCCTCTCCCTCTTCCTTCCCTCGCTCTCGCTCTCTACCACTCTCTCTCTCTCCCTCTCTCTCTCTATCTCTCTCTGTGCTGCAGCAGCAGCTCTACTGCACTGCTCTGCACTGCAATCAACTACCTGCACGACCAGCACCTATTCCCAGCAGGATCGGCAGCAGAGCAGCACACAGTCATACCCCATTCCCAACTACCTGACGCCCATGTTGAATCGGAGCAGGCCCCGTCCCCTTCGCCTCCCCGTCCCGTCCCGTCCCCCTTCCCGTTCTTCCCATCAGTCCCCAGCCAATGAATGAACCGATCAATCAATCAATCAATCTATCAATCGTCTCGTGACACTTCCCCTCTCCTCCTCCTCCTGCTGCCTCTCCCCGCCTGTTCCTCCTCCTCCTCCTCCCCCTCCTCTCCTGGCCCTAAATCTCACTCGCTCTTCGCTGCTCCGAGTCGCTTACTGCCCTCTTCGGGCCCCTCGGCCAAGCCACCACCAAGCTAAGCTAGCCTCAGCTTGCTGCTGCTGCTGCTGCTCTCTCTTTCTCTCCCCTCCCTCTCTCCCTCCTTCTACTTACACTCTCCTCTCCGATCCTCTCTATGGCCTCCCATCTTCGCACTCTCCTCATATAAACGGATCGCATGGTCGGACCCAGTCCCCCGTGGGAACACCCCTCCCTCCCTCCCTCCCTTCGCCCCATCTCTGCGCAGGCAGAGGAGGGGATTAAAGCATCCGCAATTTCCGTAACGTACATCTCATCTCTCTCCCTCCCTCCACGTATCGTATCGGCTGCCCCTTCCGTCCGTCCGCCCGCCCGCAGGCAGGCAGGCGACAGTACTAGACCCGGGCTGTAATAAATACGGGAGATGGAACATCATCATCATCATTTCGAGCGCAACTGGGACGCTAATCATCATCATCATCGCAATCCGCCCCCACCATCGGCCCTCAGTCGCGGCCTCCCTCCCTCCCTCTCTCTCTCCTCCGCTCTGTGACGACTGTTCGAGTACAGTGCCACCTCCCGGCGCGAGAGAAAGACAAGCTGCTCTGCCAGGGGACCGTACCTACCACCGGGGACCCGGTTCTGGTCCCGGCACGGGGGTCACGGGAGTGGGCAGAACGAACGAACGTACGTCCACTTGGGGAAAGTCACATCCATGCACAGCAGCGGACGGAAGGAGGGAAGGAGGGGGCGAGCGGACAAGGCGACGCTATTCTGGAGCCCGAGCCCCCCGGAGCCCGAGGAGAGGAGGAGCGACGGTCATGTCCGACGTCCGATGCCCACCCATCATGCATGCATGCGTTCTCCATGTCCGCCCACTCGGACGCTGCCACGTCGGTGGCCCGGGCAGAGCCCGAGCTCGAGAGTCCCCTCGGCCTGGCACATGTTTTCGCTAGAGTCCTATTTCCTGTCTTTCCGATATAATAATCCGCCTTTTCCTGGGCTCCGCGCCGGTTCGTCTATGTCTATAAATAGCTGGCGGGGCGCGTTCCCACCGCAATCCACGGCCCCTTCGCTCCTCTTTGTCGCAATATCTCTCGGTCCGTCCATCCAGAAAGAGGCAGTCCTCGAATTTCCTCTCTCCTGCCTCGCCTTTACTTTTTCCTATCTTTGTTGTGAAGATATTTATCCCTTTTAGGTGGAGTCGAACACCCTCTCCAGCTTCGACGCTGACTATTTGACATCGCCCAGAGCTTGTACTTGGTAAGGCCGACTCTACATGATTAAGGTCTTCTGAACTGGTTTGGATGCCCAGCGTGGTGCATGCTATAAAAAAATCCATTTCTGATTTGTACCACTGGACTGCGAACGGATTGCATAGATTATGTCTTGTGAGTTGATTATGACGCTTACAAAAAAGATTTGGCGCATGTTTGAATGTGTTCATCACAATCATTACCAAATAGTATTATATGAACGACTTACAATCTGGACGAAGACATACACAGTAGTCTTGCAAGATGAAGTATTGAACAATATTTTTTTGCATGTGATCACATACGGTTTGTTGCATCTGATATACAAAACTACTTGATAGGCTGATCACTGCAGATCGCTTGCTCTGGCAGTCTGTCTTCCAACTAGAAGATTAAATTTTTTTAGAATTTTCAATCGTGGACCCACTTTTGTCTTTGCGCTTCTGTATCCATTTTGGTCTATTTACTTTATACACACAAGAGACTTTGAAACAAATCCTTTAAATTGGAATAAAAAACAATCTTGGATATATGTTTGTTCTTCATATCTTTTTATTTCATGATATGAGATGATTAAAGCTGGAAAAATGCTAAGAAATAACAAATAAAATTGTATCAAACTGGAATATACCATTCAGTTACATCGGTAGTGTCTGAGTGTTGTTTGATTTCACTGGAATTTTGATTTTTTCTGAATTTTTTTCACATTTATTAACAATCATAATATGAATCTAATTTGATTAGATAAAAAATGTTATATGAAAAATGAACGTTGAAGAAATCATGTTCAACAATTCAATTTTAAATATTCAAATCAAGACTTCTAGAAAAATTGACTTGCAACAATTATTAATTTTTTTAATCAAATGAATGTTGTAAAAGTCCTAATGCAATTTTTAGCCGCCAAAAATATCAAATTTAAAAGAAAAATAGTGATTTTTTTAACGTAAATATTGTTAAAAAATTTTACTAACTTTTTTAGGACAAATTAAAAATATGCTACTAATTTCCAAAAAAAAATTAATTTCAAAAATTTTATAAAAAATATATATCTATTAGATAAGATAGCTTCACTTTTAACAATCGAAAGTTATTATAGATAAATTAATTTAATATAATGAGAGATATTTTCTTATTTTCAGAATTTAGTATATTTACGTGAAATATTATATATGAATTTTTTTCTTACTTTTATTACTATACATTTGTTTAAAAAAATTTCCAAAGAAGATGAAAGTGGCTCTCAAGCTCTTGTTCATAAAAGAATGTTTGTTGCCGGCTTGAGATAATGTTTTTGACTTGAAATTTTAAAAAACTAATATCTCCATCCAGAGTTAATGTAGATCTATCATAAATTTAATTTTATAAAGAGAAATTAGATAGATATGTGAATACTTGTTATTATATTTTTACCTAAAATATATTTGTATCAGTTCAACAATGTAGAAAATATTTTTGATGCATAAAAAATAAGATTAAATTTTTTTGAAAACGTTGGCTTGGATGTTCAATCATCATGAATGGTGTGAGTAGCAATGGTTATTTATCCACATTTGTCTTAAGATTTTAATTAGACTATGCCATTTAAAAACTTCTTTTTTGACCCAATTTTGATGTTTGAGTACAATTTATATGAATATAATATACTACGTATTTACTAACTACTTGCCATTTGAGATATTAAGAAATGATTCACGGAATAAATGTTTTGTTATTTTTTAATCAAGATTATTTTTCATTTCAGGATTATATTTCATTTTGATGAAAATCTTTAGACTAAAGAAACGTTTTCAAAATTAATTTATTTCGATATCAAAGTATGTGTTTTTTATATCTTCATGTGTATCAAAAAATTAAGAAGTAGAAATTGGAGAAATTTGGGTTTGATTTGTTAAAAAAATTTTGAATTTGTTACATATCGGATTTTAGTATTACGGGTTCGTCACTTTTCTTACAGAGATGATAAATAAAAGAAAATAATCACGAAAAGAGATACATCTAATAATATTTATATATCATGAAATGTGTGCTATAGGATGGCGATACTATTGGGGCTAGCCATCGGTTACCATTAGTCTACCGTGAATGTAAGGTAAGCTATTTGAACAGGCCTTCGAAGCCTAGGGCAAGAGAGAAGTATGATAATTGTGTAGGTCGGGAGCAAACAGCAGCTCATGAGGTATAGTTACACAAACAGCGATGAACAATTTCTTCCAGACGAGATTTTGTACACGATCTTCTTGTTTTGTCTTCGGTTGAAAGTCCGAAGAAATTACAGCTTCTGATTTCTTGACTTGCTAGTTCAAACACAACACTACGAAAAGGAGGAAGACACACAACATGCGTCACAAAAAGTCCAGCTTCCGACACTCATCCATCCATGGCCTCGCCTCGCCTCGTCCCTCGAGGCTCAGGGGTGGCATCTTTGAGGAACTTACAACAAGCAGAGTGAATATGGAGCAATAAATGAGTACATCTGCATCCACGGCAGTCTGCTGCCTGCCTTCTCGTGACCAACACATGACACATACGCCATTCCCAGGCTTTCTTTTTCTTTTCCTCTTTTGCCTTTCCCTGCCTGTCGGCAAAGATCCATCAGAGGCGACCGGCAAGACCGGCGGGAGGTACCGAATGGCCATCTGTCACCTGTCTCATGGGCCCCGAGACGCCTCTTTCCTCTGACCACTTCCGACACGGGACAGTACCTCTCTAGATCTCGCATCTAACCGTTAATCTAACTCAACCGGACCACTGTGTCGACTCCTCTCGAGCTCTCCATGTTAGCTTAGCATCCCGGAGATTCGCGAGCGACGGTACAACGCGTTAGGAGCTCAGATCAGCGAGTCTCCTGAGGTATGGGAGGAGAAGATCGGGCCTACTTAAGATCGGTGCGTGCGACTTACGACAAAACCTCAGTCGAATTAGGAAAATGCTCATGAGTGTAATGGATTTTTAAGAATCCAGTCTTTCGATATTTACGACCCGGTTCTCACCTTCGGATCTGGGCCGCTGGATCTCGCGGTCCTGCACGGCTGTAGGTTGCGGTCATGACTGATCGCCCACGACGACCGCAGCACGGCCCCCTGGTTAGGTTCAATATGACTGTAATGGACTGCAATCGATAGTCAAGAGCATGTGAGGTGAAGGTGAGTGTTCGGCCCTCATTTATGTGGCCAGTGACCCAAGTTAACCTACCTCCTCACGGAGGGAGAAGACTTTTGGATCGAGGCGATGACATGGTTCGAACCAGTGCCGAAAAGACATTGACGAAGTTATATGCTCGTTTATGATTGTCGAAGGTGAGCGAGCTCATTGTCGTAAGATGTGGCCTGCTTTTGGTAATTTGGAGCAGTTGGGATCCAGGAATGTACTGTTCAGATTTTACCTGCTCCATAACCTGGGGACGCGCCCCTCGTCCACTGCCTTACCGTATCCCGATCTGGAATAGGGTCAAAAATCTCGCTTTATTGTAGGTACGAAACCCGCTGTCATCCATGAGCCATCCATTCTTCCATCGACAGGTCTCAGAATTCCACGGTGAGGTTTTTCCCCATCCATCTGTGGACTTATCCACGTACTCGAGTGCTCACATTGATCAGGGTTGCTCAGCTTTTCATGGATGCCTTATCTCTTATGCGGGTAACGAAATCCCCATCGATATTATTACCCACTCCGATTAATTACAAATCTAACTCCCTCCAAGAATGTCTTCGGCTCACGGTCAAGTATTCGTTCCATGAGACGCGTTTTGGAATAATATTCAATCTTGATCGCCATATGTCAGTTGAACATCGAGCTATACCCTCTGCAGTGTACCTTTACCACTTTTGAGTGTTTTTCTTCGCGTTCGAGAAATTAAAATTACAAATCAGAAATGAAATGCAGATAAATTGTGTAATTGCAGGACACGCCCGTCTCAACGCGAGAATAGCCCGAGAGGTAGATCCCGCAGGTGACACAGGATTCTACCACGGACAGTAGTACTGATTTCTATTTACGGCTAGAACCGACGGGATGTACAATGCCTCCGTTTGAGCTCATGATTTTGCACCGATCTTAAGATTGAGATCGTAAGATCGTGGTCGACGCAGAGTCGCCAAACCAAATCGAGGCATGTTTGCATACAGTACATGAAGAATGGGGCACCTCGCGAGTGAACAAATGGACATGTGCACATTTCAACATTTTGTCTGACCCGAGATCTCATCGACCGTGTCTTTACTTGGAAAAGGAACCCGCGGCCTCGAGCTCGCACTCCGTCCCATACCGGGTCAACTTACGAACAGCGACTTCAAGAGCGTGAAGAAGGAAGGACATGGAGAACACCTCAGGTCGTGTCAGGGGCTTGGGTCCGGTACCGGGATGAAATCCATTGCCGATAGGAACTCGGTGATCAAGATTCCAATCATGGTTAAGAGACAGTATCGACGTCCCTGGCTCACTTCGTCCACTTGGCTCCACCGACTTCTTGCATACAGTACGAGATTCAATTCGGCTCACCTTCGAGTATAGTTTGCGGTTTATCGAGCTTTCCCGGGATAAAAGTCAAGAAACCAGTACTGTAATTTAATCGCTCCTCGCCACATCAAGCCAACCGAGCCCAGGAGCCAGAGCACGGTGGGCAGTGCGTGTCAGAGATTTGCTACGGCATAGTTTTTTCCGAGTATTCTAAATTCATATCGTGCACATGGTATCCATGCACATACACATGCGTGTCATCAAGTTTAGAGAAGTGCACCGTGCAAGCGACAACCGTGGCAGTGAAGTGAGTGCAGCTAACTTGCTCGATTGGTCGATCGGCTACTGAGTAGTATACGGGGGACATCTCATCATTCATTTCTCCTCCTGCTGCGAGGGAGGGCAGGGCCGGTACGTCCAGTCCAGTCATGTATTGTTGTGCGGTACTAGCTCTTGCATCCAGTCCCTATACAGTACAGCCTATCTCTTCGAGGCGGGTATGCACTCCTTTCACCGCCATAAAATCCACTCCCCGAAAACGGGTGCACGGAATCATGGATACTAACCTTTCACTATTTATATTGTCGTTACACTAGTAGCGGAAACGGTGACCCATCGAATAAAAAGTCGCCATGCAACATCATCAACTCATGTACAAAGCAAAAAGCCAAAGTCTATCAAGAAATCATAAACCCTTGGGGCCACAAGAAACGTGGATAGCTCTTTCATTTATTAAACTTGTGAATCACTTCATTTCATATGGACATCTCTGATATTTTTTTTCATGTAGATGATAGCCGGAGGTTTAGAAGGAGCATAAACTATCATAACAGTAAGAAATCGCAATCATACAAGTTGTCTACAATATATGATGCAATAAGACAAAAAATGTGCCCTATGATGTAGGATGCATATAGGTTGTGTCTTCATCGGCATCCTAGATTCTGAACTATGGATGGATTATCATAATGATGACGTGAAAATTGACAAAAAGACTCTAGAGTATAATCCAGTGAAACTTGAGCTTATGCTACATATTCTATTTCAAGAAAAATATGAAATATGTTTTAATTATGAATGATGTGACTCCGTATGTGATGCTTGTAAATGGCATGAGTATTTAATATTTTGAGTCTAAAAACATATTAAGACATCGTTTGGCCATATATTAGTATGTTTTATTAAGCCATATGAAATAAATCAGCGGTGTTATTCCAAATTTCTAATGTCTGGTGAAGCCTGATATATCTAACTTTGGCAATGTAAGCAAGAAAAATGAGTTACTAAACTTGAGAATAAAAACTTTTATCGCATGGTCAAGACAGGCAACACAAATTTGTAAACATTAATGTTATGAATGAAATTTCTGACGTTGAAATTGTAAAGCACATACTTCATCCAACTAAATTTCTAGTTAGGTAAACGCAATGAATATATATATATATATATATATATATATATAAAAGAAAATTTTATCATACAAAATCTAGAAATAAAATTAAGAAATTGAATGAATATCAAATAATTATAAAATTATATCATAATTACAAGTAAATTATAGGCACTTATGTTTCTCATTGAAAGACATCAATCTATATGTTTGAGTAGCATAGTTGATAAGAATTTTATAAAACTTTTTAATAAAAATATATTTATAAGTAAATGTAATAAAATTCAAATTCTTTAATGCTAAAAATTAGAAAAAATATATTACAGAATATTCACAAGATTACAGAGAACTTTGCAATATGATTTTAGTGTGAACATGTATCAAGAATATAGCTAAATATGCTTTATTTTTATTTGATCTCATCAGATAATTGATCTCATTATCACAAGTGCATTGTAAAGTAATATATTCCTCCAAAATAGAGATCAAGAATTTTGAACTTGATTTATATTTTTAAATAATTTAGAAAGAATTTTCTTCACATTCATTTTTTTGAGAAAAAAAAAGTGATCTTTTGAGTGATATGCTTTATTTTATTTTTTAAATATATCCTAAAAAATTTAAAATGAAATGAGTTATCAATATATAAATAATATTTTTTATATTACTATTAAACCATATTTCTTGAGTTATAATTTGAAAATTTAATATATTTATTTTTAAAATAAGAATTTATTATTATTATCTATATTTATTAAATAAATTGATCCAAGCTATATAAAGTTACAATTAAAATGACTTGAAAAATTTTCAATTTTCCCAATAAAAATATAAAACATAGTGAAAATAACACACTTGAATTTTGTGTTATTTTTTTACGTACTTGGGCATTAAAAATTTTCAGCTTTTTGATTGACTTCTAACTTACTATCATGAATTCACCAAAAAGAAGATTTAAATAGAAATTTTTTTTGAAGTTTGTACTTTTCTCACAACAACAAGCAGAGAATTTTGGGGAGAAATTAATTAGTGTAAAAGATGTATGCGTAAAGAGTCCTTACATGTCCTTCGTCGTCGAATTAATCGACAATTTTCACAAATTTTAGGAACAGAAGCGCGGATTTTCACAAATATTTTAAATATAATTTTTTTCTTTTATTATTTAATTATTTGAAGATTTTGTAGGAAGTCTGTAAACTTTGTGAGTGATTGAGTTTTCCAGGCTTCTTCTCTATCCTGAGTTCTATTATCAGGTCAGAATATAAAGAAAGAAATACACTACGCTCTCTTGACCCCTAGGTGGCTACTTTCCTGGTCATTTCTGGTATTAGAAGGCGTCAACATAGTCCTTCACTCACACTCGAAATATCTGCTGGATGCTGTATCACTTCCTCGTATCTCAGTAATGTAATATGTACACCGTATATACAAAAGCTCTTAGATATACGCAACGAATAAAATCTCTGCTTTTGTCTACTCGCAACCGGTTCCTACGCATAGCCTTCGACCGTGTGCCATAGCTGAGTTGGAGCGGTCTTGTTTAAAATCCCTGCATTGAGTTTTCGCAGAATTTGACCGGGCACTGTGATGTTCCCGGTGGTTTCGTCAGGCCAGGTGTACGCTGGAATCCAGCCAAGATACGATCGGCCTTTAAATCCAACGAGAGGACCTCTTTCGGAAGAGCAATAAAATATGCGGGCAGCTTCGCAGTTGCTTCCGGATTTCGCAAATCGTGAGGCAGGTTACGGGTTCCGGTTGAAGACAGAATTGGATGTCGGACGGACACACCATCATTCTTCGCCAACAGCGCCATACTGCATCTTCTTCTTCCGGTTGTCAGCCAGCGGGTTGCCTTCTCACGGTACACCTCGTCACCGAGGTAGATAAGACCGACTGACATCTGCGCATCCCGAATAGCAAATCCGCCGCGGTAGCCGGGTTCAAAAGACGATCGATCTTCGTCGGTGGGGCCATCAAATCTTCAAAAGTCGCGATATTTCTGGCGAGCGAGCGAGCGAGGGAGAGAGGGAGGGACGCCTTAATGCTCTGCTTAGGGAGTGGTTAGAGGGCACCGGCGTAGAGTAAAGGCTAAGAAAGCCAAATAAACTCAAGGATCGTAGTCGATCCCCGCATACATTGACGGCCAAATCGAGACTAACCGAGATCTAGATGACCGACTCCATCATTACGCCGTAGTAGTGGTATAACTTGCGCCCCTGGCTCTGACGACGTTGGAATGTCGAGTTTATGGTTGCGACCCCGGGAAGAAGGATTCGTGTGCGAGGACCTAAGCCAGTCGGAGCTATGGCTAATCACGTGACTAAGTGGATCCGGATCATAATCAGCCCGAGGGGACTCGGTGGGAGCGACACCTGCTCGCGGTGCGCTGGGAGCATGGGACATGTCATGGAACGACTCGAAGAACGGCACATGATTGTGTGATGAGGAGGACCCCGCTGCAGACCCAACACGTGACCTTCTTCGAATGTAGAATCTCTGTCTCTCGCTACAGCGATAGATCGGGGCCGGGGTCAACCCGGCAGAGCGATGCCGCGGCGCCGAGCACGGGACGTGAAGTGACGGGGAGCTGGGAGAGTGCGGGTCCCACCTCGATGGCTTACTTCTGGACACGTCGCTGCCCGCCCGCTGGACGTGGTCACCACCGGTGATCACAGTAAGGTTCGCCTGACCTCTTGTCCCTCGCCCTCGTCCGCGCTCACAGTTCCAGATGCTACGCCGTCGAGGGGAAGAGGTTTTCTCCGTACGTGGTTGATACCATCTATTCCAGATGCTGGATCTAGCAGGTTCTAGAGTTGGGTCCGACGACGTGCTTCATAATAAGGGAGCATACGGCTTAACATTCTTCTGTATGAAGCAAGTGTCGGTGGGATTTCCTACTCGGGCCTTATACAGAGCTCGATCGATGTTCGCGTCCCACTCAAATCTCTGGCCCCCAAAACGTGTTGCCCATATCTGTCGAGTATCGCTTTCCTTTTGGCATGAAGGCCATGTTCTTTAGCTCGAGACAGAGGTGCAGTGCGCACAGAGGTCTTGAGATACTGGTCATAGCTTTCATCACTTTTGTACTTTCCTAACATGAGAGCTCGTTGAGCTCACATCTCAGATGTGTCGCAAGTAAAGCTTGGTCTGAAAAAAGAAAGTGCATCTTCGTTATCTCTTCGAGCGAGTTTTCTCCTTTTGTGCGGAGCTCGGATCCAGATCTCCAAGATCTACTGAATATTCTTTCGGAACAAGGGCTTTGTCTGAGTGAATGTTTTCTTGGAATACTTATTCCTTGTGTCTTTGAGGTGTGAACAGGTTATTAGGAGGCAGAGAAGACCGATCTGAACCCAGTTTTAACATAACATTCGGGGAAATCCCGATAATAACGGAAATCTAGACTTGGGTCCTAGCCCCATTTTAAACTTTTGGTTTGATCCATGCAAGACTTGAGGGGGTCTCCCATTCTCTGTCCTTCTTATTTCTTACTTGTTTGAAATCCAGACTTCACATTTGCCAAAGGCTGACATATATGTGGGGAGAATGCCACGATGAATGCTAGAAAAGGACGGAAAAGTTTTGAACAAATCGGCCAGCCCCACCAGACTAGAGACATTATCACACATCTACTACTGAGCATCCTGAATGTACGAAGACGGGGCCTGATGATCATGTACATGATCGCTTAAGAAAGTGTAAAGCACCATCAAAAGATTGAGGTTCTCGATCGGACTTTTACCATGTCGAGGAGGATGTGCACCAACTGCATAAGGAAATAGTGCGCTTTGTATCCTGTAAGCAGTACACTAGAATTTAGGAAACTATGTTCTGGTACACTGCACTGTTTTTCTTGTTCCGCTCAATTCAGCCTTTGAGTGCAAGCATATGATGAAATCTGAAATTTGCATTCAGTAACTGTATCTCCGTAGATCAGATAGTAGTATCTTGTGTACAAGCAGATGCATTAGATATGATGGAACCACGTGAATTTCAGGAGGCATGGTAAGAGGGGAAATGCACAATGCTTATTCCAACATCCATATGTTTTGAAAGTGAACGCTGCTCTGCCATGTCTTCACCAGACTTAACAATGTATATCACATGACATTTGGTCACGCTATACTGCAAAGTCGAGACTCGAAGTGAGTCTTCTGCGTTACAGATCCGCCTAAGACAGAATCCGTTCGAGATCAATGATAGGCAGACACATAATGATAATTTTCCGAAATATCGTGAGTATTACTAGCATGCAACGACGACTCCTGTTTGTAGTACGATCGGTGGTCAAACCACTTGACCGACAATAATGTGCATGATGAATGTCGTGTTTGATTTTAAATCTTCATACTTTAAGATATTTCAGAAAGTCATATACGACTAACAATCGAAAGAATCTTCCACTTGGAGCAATAGCCTGTTTCGGTTGTTCATAGACTCTTCATGTTCCGAACGATCTATTTCGAGTCAAAGTTATTTGACGATTCTATTGCTCATATGTTGGTAGAAGTGGCGACTAAATATGATGAACCTGACCACTACCTACTCAACAACAGGCACTCCTCCAAATGAAGCTCAAGGACACACCGATTAATTTTGGAAGGAATCCATGGTGAGTTTCACTCCGAGTTATTGATCTATTGCGAGGATATTTTCAACAACACATTAATCGCATCAGGTACAAATAGTATCATCCATCGTGTCCACTTATGGGCAACAACTAGTACTGCATGCCCTGATTGGTTGCTAAGTACGAACATGAAATAAAAATTATATTCAGCTATATAATAGTATATATGACATACATACGTTTTTTGTGTTCAGCATATTTCAAACTTAAATACGTTTATATAAAGTATAATATGTCAAACATGAGTGACATGTTAGCTGCCACTGAATTGTCAGGATTAGTTGGCCACTTCGCGCCGAGTAAGAAACAACGAGAACTTTTGAGTGACGTCCAAGCTTTGGACTAAAGGGGTCTGACAAGGAACCAACCATAGTCGGTCATTCTTCCTCTTCCCAGTTGAAGTCTCTTTGCCTCGACGACACGAACTCGCCATTGCCCATAGTGGGACGAGGAGACGAGACGAGACGAACGAACAGTCACTAAAAAAGAGTGCACTGTATTTCACCAAATTTAACCGAAGGGTGCATGTCCTTTGTTTCGGGGGAGGTCAAGGTTGACCTCCTATGAAACAAAAATATAGTAAGATAATACCTTGAAGCTACCTGGTCGTTGCATGAAGCGTAATTTGATTCTGCTGTTTGTTCCTTTCCCCCAAAGTTGATTAATTTGATGTTGTAAAAAATCCACGAGAAAGCTGCCACCAAAATCAACACGATGCTAAGCTTCAAACCTGGAATCAGATAACAAACATGGAAAGCAATTCCAATGCGAAGATGCCCTGTACGAGTGGCTTCAGTTGTGTCCAACTGGGTACGACAAGTAAGGAGGTCATCGTGCAACTTAAGGAATATCGAATAAGCTGCATGGCCTTGGAGTACCTCTAGTAATGGAGTTCTCAGGAGACGAGTCAGGATTCAGTGGTGCATAGAGAAACCGATCACTCCTAAGACAAAATATAATAGGCTTGAACCACTTTATAGTTCAGCAGACTTACAAAACCTGGTTTCTAAGATTTCCTCTTTTATGAGAACCTTCGACAAGTGTATCTCATAAACTGTACACAACGTGACTGAACGACTGATCACATTTTCCTTCACGTAATAATATGCAAGCGAGTTTCACTCTGTTGTACATCCCATTGAATGATGATAGTAGAAAGTTGAGAATCGACCGGATAAACACGGACTGCCATCGAACATCGTACAGATCCATGCCCTTCAGACAGCAGAATTAAGCCAGGGCAATGCACTCAGTACTTTCACGAAGCAGGCTCGGAAGCTAATGAAATCAGTGGGAAATCAAATAGCAAGATGATTATGTTATCTCATCCTCAGGTGCAGCGTGTGAGAGGTCCACGTGATTGCTCTGCACAGCAGCAGGCGGCCCAACACTGAATATACTGTACACATAACACAGTGCATTACAGGAACCTCTTCTCGCATGTGGAGGACCGGTCCTACGTGGACCTCCACGTCACTGGGAGCAACCGACCCTCACATGCAGTCGGGTTCCACCGGAGCTCGTCGACCACATTCGACCTCCGAACCGCGTTGCCCAACAGAGGGCTCAGAGGGCATCGAACCACGTAATAACTGCGGAGGCGGCTTTGACGTGGCAGACGCCACCGCTAAAAACGGGCGGGATGGCAGGGAAGACGAGGCATTGACGTCCGAGAAAGACAAAAGGCAAAGTGGGCAGGAGTCCCGGTCTCCCGGTCTCCGGTTCTCCGCGCAAGGCGGACGATAGGCTTTCCATTAATGAAACGCTCACCGGAAATGCACCAGCCCGAAAGGAGTCATGTCACCTCAGGGGGGGATGCAGATCTCGAGGTTATTGGCTACCGCTCTTTTTCTGCGGTGGCCACGGACGAGGTCTAGCGACCCAGTCGCCTAGGGGAGGTACGACACAGCCTGCCCCGTTTTTCCGTGCCTGCAAAGCCTCTTTCCTCTCGCCCCTCCTTCCCCGAGAACAGGCCACGGGGAGAATCGGGAGATGTGGTCGCAGGCAGGGGCCAGTACCGGGGTCAGTCCTACACCGGGCCCCTAGAGTCCACCGGAACATACGTGTTGGAGCACGATTGCTCCGTAAGAGTTCCGTATCTTGTTCGCAACAGCGATCGTACTTCTCTCTGGAGCTCCGTCGGGCTCGTCATTTCTACTGGACGGTATGCATGGATCGGATGGATAGATGGAGGGAGCGTACGGTGATTTACCGCGATCCCGCACCATGGAAGGTAGACCGGTCTCCTGTACAAGCCGAGTACTTTCCGCCATACTGTAGTCCATTGGCTGTACGCTCTCTACAAGGAAGCAAGGAAGGCATCCATCTTTCGCCTTCGATCATACGCTATGACAAAAGCGCCTCTGTTCTCTCCTGCCCTCTACTCGACGAAATCAGATATTCCATAAGGCGTTGTTTTACGATTCAGTATTTTTGCAGCTTCCATTTACAACATCCGGGGTGCCTTTGACTTTTTTCAATTTTTGTTGTTTTGCTGCGATTTATGATGAGGCGAGTGTTTTAAATGGTACTAGATCAAGCCCGGGGGACCCAAGGTTCAAAAGTATGAAAAACACAATACAAACGACAACCACAAACAAAGTAAAAGACCCCAACTCTCCCGCGACAGAAGAAGTGGGTGACAAGAGGCACTCCTTATTGGTTGTAATTCTTGAAACATGTCTTCGTAGCCCGTCATATCACATCCGGAGTTGTTTAGAGTTCTTGACAAGGTGAAATTGGAAGAGCGATGAGGTACTGGCTCATCATTAGGCGAGTTCTGAGATGATAGATAGCACAAGTGATGACTTATTATTCGCTGCTGCTTTCTTATCATTTTACGGTGAGTGAGAAGGCTATGTGTTGCTTTTGGCTTCTTTAGATGTCTGGAATGAATGAGCATAGATCGAGTGCGCACTAAAAAACACTAAGCTTTAGGCTTGGAGTTGCGTGTATATTTCACTTTCTTCCAATTGGAGTTGTCAGATGGTGAGCACTTTTCCAATGGATAACGTTTTACTGAAGCATGCGGCCTGTAGTCTGAGGAGCAAGAGATATTTAGCTCTGCCATAATTTGCAACAATGCAGTAGTAGTAAGGTACATACTTCATCGTACATGTTCGTTTCGCAAGGTGTACCACGAAGAATTATACGGAACGTATACTGCAAGCGACGTACTGTCGTCCATTTAATAATAGTACGTTCCAGGAGGACACGAACAACGGGAAGAAGGAAAGTCAAAACATGTGTCTCACTCTGTTGTCAAAGTACGAGTGAAGCTTTAGTGCTATGGTAGGTGCACTGAGTGAGTGACATGGGGGTCATCTGGGACATCGCACTGAGTGTGTTGTTGAGTTCACAAAACCAAACAATGAGCTCAGCGGCGTTCAGTACGACCGGGGAGCTCGGGTGGGAGCAGTCGCTGATACAGGGAGCACGAAGTAATTAGATCAGAGGCCCAGAGAGATTTGAATGGAAAGCCCAAGGAAACAGGACACAATGAGAGCCACGAAGCAAGTCCGGGCTGTCTCCTGTATGGATCGTATGAGACACTTGCGAGATCGGACGGGGAAGACGAAAGGTGTTTGATGAGCTCACACGGTTCAGAGGACCGGCCAGATCTAAACAAAGTGGAAATGCTTGATTCCTTCTGTCCTCGGAGCCAGCCAGCCATCTACGAGGGCACATTTTCGTATGGTGGAATAAGTCAACCATGAACAAGTCAGGAATCATACCAGATGACGGCCAAAGTATGTTTAAACTTTGATGGTGGAGTTTTGGTCCAAGGAGGCATATGCTACTGCAAGGAGGAAGACATTAGAGAAAGTAGAGAGACATTTGACTGGCCGAAGCTGTGAACAGAGATTCCAACTTCAGGAGTCGCCGCAGCATATTCACTCCCATTTTAGGACCTTTTTCGACCACATATATGTCCCGGGCCTACAATACTTATATGGATGACAGGTTTAGATACACACTGTTTCTCTCCAGATGTTGAACAAGCTGCCCTGGTCCCTTTTATACTCTACGCGGTTAACCAAATGGACAAAAATATCAAGTTTATATCATTCACAATCACGCAGAATATGTGGAATACATGAGAACTAATGGTTGCAACGAGACTTCGATGAAAATTCTTCCAACTTACCAGCCATGTTCATCAATGCAGATCAATTAGCAACATGAAAGTTGCTGATTGATCTGCATTGATAAACATTCCGATTATCAGCACGTTATTTGTGTACACAGAACACGACTACAGTTTTCCTGTATCCATGAAATCGGTGAGATTGATGTGATGAGGTCTCGGTGTTCGTTCACATGGGAGAGGTGGATGAAGTCTACCCTTGATTACACAGGTGCAGATGGGTGCAGGATTGACCTTCTTCAGGTTGAAAGGTTGTTAACGTCTGACCGGTGTAATGTGAATCGATGAACAGCTGTGTTTGTGGAACTACATAGTTGTTTTGAGCCGAATTATGAAATGTGTAGTTCAGTAGCGCTTTGGTTTGGCAATAACAACCATGTGGCTGATGGCACTCAGAGTCGGCCTTTCCCTAGAGGACGTCCACTTGGTGTCTTCGCAGCAAAGAATCTCTCTAAGGCTCGAAGTCCACTGGATGTGGAACGCGCCAGTGAGTGTGCAATTGCCACCACCGCCGTTCTAGAACTGCCTGGTGAATACACCACTTGGGCCCAGGGTAGTTGGTTTTAGACGATTCCAGGTGCCACTGCCCATACCGTTGACTCCTTTAATCTTCTGGTTAACAGTGCAGTCAGATCGCAGTTGCTGGTTACAAATGGGCCAACTTGCTGACCTTCATCAGCACATTGTTCTCCTTTCTCTTCTTTTCGGATCAGCGTACGCCATTTTCCTTGCTATGCTGTGTGCGTGTATCTTATGTGAAACCCACTGACCAGAAGCAGAATTATCATGGCTTCGTCACTGGTGCGTGTTGATCGAGCAAAGAGTCTCGTGTGTTTGCCTCCGTGGACAAACAAGTATTTTACATGCGGGAGACAATCGTTACTCCAGAAAAGTGAGTTCGGATTATCTACACACTTGGTCAGCTTTCAAAATCATGCACACTTGCACTTCTAAAAAATAAAGAGCCTACGGCTTATCCACTCCACGTCTGCGCACAAGTTGGCTTCACAATCACATGTACTGGTACGATACTTCTACTGTTGAGTCACCTACTTCCGATTCAAAAATCTGTAATTGCTAATCGGCAAACATCTATCTTAGTACAGTATGTATGTAACCCATTCGATCTTTATTTTTAATGGTGGCCGTGGATAACACTTACTTAATCTGTTTAGAATACATAATTCGCTCCCTATTAGAATATATGAACTATTTGTAAGAATGTGCTGAATGCTGTGCCTAATGGAGACTGTGATTTCACAAGTCGCAGCTCTCAGTCTCAGTCTTAGAAGGTTGGCCGAACCATCTAATTATGAATACGGAAGTGGCGCTACCATGATATGCTTAAAAACAACAGATCAGTACACATATTGTGAAGCAGAATTACTTCAGGTTGGCAGACTATACTTTCCAAACCTCAACATGTGTTGTTTGAAGGGAGAGGTTACATGTATCAAATTCAAGAATGGCAGGTCAGTGATTAGGTATCTTTCGATCTTATCCTGAACCGTGGAGGCTTTAGGTGAAAGAATATGAACAGTATTAGATCTGGCTTCAGGTTGAAAAGATCGAAGAGAAAAATGGTTGTCGCGTTCTTACAGCACTGCTAGACGCTTGTCTTCTCATCGGCGAGTACATTTGGTGTCAGTAAGGTCTTCTACATTTTGAATTTACATCTTCGACTGATCACAACCAGTCCTACTCATTGCAAGGGCAGTCTTGGATCCAGTCTGTCGGCCAAGGTATCGTGAAATGAAGTCACCAGCAGCCATCATTCGGTTGAGATCCACATTGCTCTGTATCCCAAGCCCATTTAGAAGGTAAACCACATCTTCGGTGGCTACATTACCGGAGGCGCCCTTGGCATAAGGACAACCACCTAATCCAGCAACCGATGAATCTATCACGCTTATGCCCATCTGCACAAGTCATTCCATACTCACCGTCATTCACCAAACAATAAGAAGCAAACATATCACCCAAGGACTAATTGGAAACAAGACAATGAAAATTGGGATTTGATTAGTCTCTAAAAGAAGGTCTTCAAACCTGAAGAGCAGCAAGGATGTTGACAAGAGCTTGACCGTAGGTATCATGGAAGTGAACTGCTAGACGGTCCACAGGAACCTCCGCCATCACTGCTTCTAACATCGGCACTACGGTTCCTGCATCTCCAGGAATTTCACGTAAGTACACAAGAAATCTACTACAAATTCATTACTGCAGACATTAAAGTCCCACTAAACCAAACTACTGTCTATCGCATTGATCTAATGTATTGGTTTTCATCTCCTGAAAACTGCACTCTGAATAGGCTACATATATGTAAGATCTACAATAGACCTTTGCATGCACAGTCCATTTGGGTATCTATAGGTCCTTAGTTTGCATATCGGATGATGCCAAATCTACTCCACATGGCTTGAAAGTACGAACGCATTTGCTATCGTTTGCTACAAGAACGACTAGATGCACTTTTCAACGACATACATAACTCACTACAATTGTATATTAATTTCCTGCCGGAGGGAAATGAGCATTTCTGCCCTATGATAATTTTTTTCCAGCCACTTTGGCCAAAGTCTGATCACAACTTCTATCTACTTCAGAGGTGTAGAAACTATAGCAGTTTCAGAGTTCCCAACGCGAGGAAGATAACCTCCCCTTGCTCTTGATCACAAATTTATACCATCAGAAGAAAATCGTTGTGAGCCAAGCCTACCAGGTGTTCCAACGCCGATAGTGTCACCTAAGGAGATTTCATAGCATCCCATCTCATACAGCTCCTTGGCAACCCGAGCAACTTGATGAGGTGGCACTGAGCCCTGAACGGGGCATCCAACGACACAAGAGACGTACCTGCGATGAAAAAGTTCAAACTCGAGGAATTTAGCTTGATAATCAAGCTTCTGTTTGAGAACAGATTTAAGTGAGGTAAGTTAAAACTGTGCAACCCTTCCGCTATCTGATAAAATCCATAAAGTACCGAATCTGGCCTCTGCTCCAGTGTATGAATTCACAAAATTCAGTTCAGCACAGTGCAGAGAAACATACCCTCTGACAGGGATGTTCAGCTTCTTGGCTGCTTCACACACTTGACGGTACCGCTTCAAGCTGTCGTCGATCGTGCAGTTGATGTTACTCTTTGAGAATGACTCAGAAGCAGCTGCAAAAACCGCCACTTCCTTGGCTCCGGCTGCCACAGCATCCTCAAAACCCTGCATGTGTAAGTGAGCTCAGAAGTTAGATCCAAGCCCGCTCAGAAAACGGGGAAAGGCCAGAAGTCGACCGAAGGTCCAAGAAAGTCTTCCAGAATTCCAAGAGCATCACGGAACTGCGGGAGGCGAACACCAATACCTTCAAGTTGGGTGTCAATACGGGGAACTTTGCCTCTTTGTATGATTTGACAGCGGACATAACATCTTTTGCGTCAGCAAGCTGCACAAACAAAGATGTGTGAACAATGTGCTACGTAGAGCGGGCACGGTCACATCCAACCCTTGTCTCGATTTTCACTTCAACAAACAAGATGCCAATTTTGTAACAAATATGACAATTAGCAAACAACGTAAGCATCCACCTCGCAAAATCATGCAAAGAGTAACAAAGACAAAAGGTAAATGAGTACCTGCGGCACCCATTTTGGCGAGACAAAGCTTGTTGCTTCCACAACTGGTAAACCGGCGTCAACAAGCTTTTGTATAAGCTCCACTTTTATATTAGTAGGTACAGAACCTTTCTCGTTCTGTAGCCCATCTCTAGGTCCCACCTCCACAATCTTTACATAGTGCGGCATTCCCGTCAATATCTGTTAATCACAACCACAGGACATTTATGAGGCCACGGTTAGTCTCAAAGACCAGATGAAGTAATCTGGACAACCAAGACATAGACGCGCAGTCGGCACCAGCAAAAGATAATGCAACTTGCAAAAAAGGTAATGCATTCTCTGCTGTCACGAATTAACTCTCCATACCTTAGGTTTTACTCTTCGTATGTGGATGACATCGCTTGTAGAGTCACAGTAGCCCCTGACAAGTTGGCTTCTGCTCGTCACTCCTCTTGGCCTCAGGGACCCTCCTCTCGGGGACTGCCATTCTTGCCTGGTTCGGTTATGGGACTGAGATCTAGGAGATCTGTCCCCACTGCCAATGACATGGCCCAAGTTGGGTTAAATACCTGACAGTTCATCAATTCTCTGAACTATATGGAGAGGCAAAACGAAATGCACATGACATCTGGAACCTACCATTCACCATGCTGGAATTATCTGCAGCATTTGATACCCGAAATCGAAACTGCAGAGGAGGAGAAGCACATGATGCAGCTCAGGACAAAAAGGATGTGTAAAAGATTACTCATTACCTGAAATCAAAGCTGCATGGGCCGGAACTCTGGCAATCCCTCGAATCCACAGAGTCTGCCATCCTCATGAAAGCTACATGCTCCAAAGGCCTCGTGCAGAAACCATTCTTCGAACCCAAAAGTCCTCCATGATCTGAGTCCGCTTGTCTTGGCATAAAGTCAAGCTCAGCAAGACTTGCCATTCCTAAAACGGACAGAAATTTTGGTGAGGAGGCGAGATCACCGACAACTTTCAGAGATGGCGACGAGGACCGGACAACTGCTAGTGCGGTTAAGCCAGCCATTTTTCGGACTGTGATTGGGAGAGTGATAGTGTTCAAGTGCAATGTGTCACTCCGCTTGTGTCTGCACTCTAAAGCAAATGTGGAGGAGAAAGCACTGTCCCAGGTCTCTTTTATCTCTCAGACTCTCAACCAGTCGTAAGTCGAGATACAGTTCCTGAAAGTTTCCACTTAATCAAGTTAGACATAACACCAAGGGCTGAACACTCATGTGGCAATCGGGAAAACGACCCCCTCACGGCATGTAGGCATTGTGCCCTAATCCAAACCACGCCCATGCCAGACGGCAAGGCAAAGCAAGGCAGGCCTCGTAAGCTTGCCTATCCTTCTCCTCAAACAGTTCACCCTACATGACTTTTGAGTATCCCAAGCAGCCATCTCTGCTCGGAAAGACCTCTCCACTGATCGTCGAAACATCGTCTGACATGCAAGCAATCCACAAGCGAGAGGCTACACTTTCATATCTGCATCTCAAAACCCTTCAGGTAATCCTTTACCGTCATTCTCAAGGAGGTACTTTTCAGGGTTTTAAAAACTTCATTCCAGTTACAGATTGAGGACTGACAAAGCACTCTGGAAAAAAAAGCAAGATTGCAATAAACAATAAACGTTTGATGTTGAATGCATGGTATTGATCGTATATGTGAAACTCACATCAAGAGTGAGTCCGTGAAAGAACTCCAAAAACAAAATGGCCACGCTTCGGCGGTAAGAGCTTCGGTTTACGCACTGACAACTAGGTCAACTGGGGCCCTAGAACGGTCTTTAGGTCTCAAAATCGAATCGTTTTTCCAATTTCTAACAGATGTGACTTGAATGGGGGCTAATTTTCCCTGCCTATCAGATTGTGGACGACTAGATCACAAATTCCGGACAGCAACTTATCAGGATCGATCGAGACATTTTAATCTGACAGTTGATACATAAGAACGTGACTACATGTAGCTCAAGTCACTACGCGCTTCCAAGGGTTTCCTTGATGTCCATGTGTCTGAAATTGAGTGCGCCGGTTCACAGTGCCTGATTGCATGTCATTCAATCAATTGATTGCTAGACCTGGTGGACACTGAAATTGGAGACACCTGAACGATTGTGAACGTACCCAACCTTCGAGTACAGCAATTTCCTCGTCCCAGGTTTCTCAGAAACTTGTGAGCGACCAACCTCCCTCCCAAATTTTACTAGCTACGTTCTACAGCCCTCTTCCGTGTCTGATCTCTAAAAGGTCAATCGTCTTTTCCCGGTCACTCTTTCTTCTTTCTTTCTGACTGTCTGTCTATCAATGGGTCCTGTTTCTGTCAATGGCTTGAAATTCTCTCTCTCTCTCTCTCAATTCGTGGCAAGAGAATAAGCAGAGTATCAAGATTGTAGGGTCTAATTCAGAGCAACAAACCCACCCACCTTCAAATTGGAAGGGTTCTCCCTTGATACGCACACGGTTCGCCCACTCCTCAAACCTGCTGCAAAGAGTGGGCAAGTTCAGCAGCTCGCTCTGCTACAGCTCTGCCAATTTGGCCAATTTCGTTTTTGGGGGGGGGGGGGGGAGTGAGTGTCCCCTTCTTTCCTTCCTCCAAAGTGTGACGGCACTAAAGTTTCACAGTCTTGGGGCTGTGAAATTGGAAGGCAAGCAAGCAAGCAAGCAGGCAGGCCGGCTGGCCGGTCGGCACTCCCTGATCGCTCGTGGTCGCCACAAAACCCAAGAGGGTGAAAGGCAGGGGACGGCCCAGAAGTAGATGGAGGGGAGGGCAAGCAGAGCGAAGACAGACAGACGCTCGACAGATGAAAGTCGTGACAGCACCGGAATCACGGAGCTCCCAGGCGAATCCTGCTGCGAATCCCCGAGCTCTTTTTCAATGAGCGATCGTGACGTGGGCCAGGGTTTAATTATGCTTCCATGAATCAATCGATCACTCAGAGCTAACGCAATTAACACAAGCAAATCCCATGCTGTAGATAATTTCTCCGGTCTTCCTCATCATGTGCTTATTGTTGCTGCTGCTGCCGCCGCCTGGTCGTGATTCTCCTGAGGAGCAGGACACTTCACCTCACCGCGCTCCCATACGCTAGCTCCGCACCCCTAGGCACATGTTTTCCCTCACACCGGGTCCGATCCTATACAATTGCTGTAGCGACAGCAATTCCCATGCCCGTCCTTCTCATCCACTTCACTCACCACCTACAAGTTCTTCCGGCGTTCCGGACTGTGACTCTCTCTCGAAATCTCTGGAGATCTCCGGTGAGATCCGCCCGCACAGGCGAATGCGTTCCTTCTACATCGACGACGTCGAGCGACAGAGAATTAGTGAGCAGCTACGGTATCCATGGCTCTGTCTCTCTCCGACTCAGTCTCGGACGGAATTGCGAGGGAGGGACGAGATTCTGCTAGCGAGCGAGCGCACGCACATTACCAGCAAGTCAACGCACGAATCTCAGTCTCGATTTCTCGCCACAAGAGTTCTGACCCAGTCCATGACGAGCGACTTTTATCATCGGGACTGGCTCCGTTCCGCCACCTCACTCACTTACCTCTCGAGGCCTTTTCAGCTCGGCCTTCCTCTGTAGCTGGTCACACTCACCACTCGAGGGCAGCAGCAGCAGCAGCTACTCTAGAAGACTCGCTCGCGTCTTTCTGTCCAAGTCTCGGGGTAGCGACACCATTGCCACTGGAGGATCAGGCGTCGTGGTCAATGGTCTCTCGCTATTTCTCGGTATAACAGCCGACTGAACACAGTGGACAAAGTCGCCAAGACTCTCTCTGTCTGGTCTCAGAGTCCTCCAGCCTCGTTCCACATCTGAGAACGAAACGACGGTCAACCCTGAGTATAGTTGTTGGCCAACAGTGTCCGGATGGAGCGGTCTCTCCGGACCTCAATTCAGCACACTGTCGAGATCCAAGTCCACGACCGAGAGGGCTCCAGATGTTTATGATAAGCGTAATGTGGGGGAGGTCTTGTGGCCGTGTTACAGAGCTGCTCTTGAAGCTGAGGCTAACAGAGCTTCAGAGGAGGAGAGAGGAGGAGACCTGGAATTCAGATTGTTTCCTTCTCTGTGCTTTTCGTTTGTCGAGAGTTCGTTGATGTTCGAGAGTGAGTGAGTGAGTCATGGAGCGAGGAGGCTAATCCTCGTTCTCGTTGACTGGATCACGAGCTCAGCAAGTAGTCATGTGCGTGGAAGTCGAAGCAGCCAACTGTGGCAGCAGTTTAGAGAGTTCGCTACGCTACTAAGTTTAGTGGTCCATATCTCGGACCGAAGTTCGTTCAGGCGGACCAATCATGAGCAACTTTTGGGAAATGGTGGACATTCTCTCGTGTCGTGAATCGTGATCCACTGCCTGCTTGCTTGCCTGCCTTGGCGTCTAAGTCGGACACCAGGCGGAGCCCCAAAGCCCACGACGTCCAAAGGACGGTTGCAAATGCAGCCCATACATGGATGGCTCGGATAACCTCCAGAAAGAGAAAGAGAGGAAGAAGTGAAGGAGAGGAAGACCTTCGTGATATTCACGGGATATTTACGATATTTGTTTTCCAATATTATCGTGATGATATTGGAATACATGTGATTATGAATAAACAATATTTATTTATTTATGTATTTATTTATTTAAAGGTATATAAAGAAGATCATATTTACGATTATGATGGAATTTGTTTTCAATATATAGAAAACTATGAACATTTTACCGATAATGTATTGAGCATTGATTTACATAAGAGATAAGTCAAAGTACATCAATCAGAACTTAGAACAGCGACACTTTAGCTCCACTAAAGCAGTTGTTGCCCCACACCCAAAGAACTTTAGACCGCAGTAAGTATTCACGCAGTCAATTACTAGACCAAGCAATGAAAGAATGAACTGTGGTGACGTATGAATGAGAATATTCTGTCCAATTCCTATACTTCCTTTCTCTCTCTATACCATGTGAGCAATTGGGAAACCATTGATAAAGATTCAAAAAAATCTTGAGGGTTAAACAAGGTATAAGAGGAAATAGAAGAAGAAGACAAAGTCACGTTTCATATAAGTAATCTTCAACATCTCCAACCGTTCTGTGGATGTTGTTGGAGCCAACCCAGATTGTAATTTGACACATGAACATGCATATTTCGTTATTGATGACTTTGCTTTCAAAAATGCTAAAAATATCCTATTGTATTGATTTTAATATACAAACATGCACATAAATCAAATAATGGTCTGGATTACATCAAAATAAAAAAAGTGAAGAAAGATCTGCTATCCAAATCCAGATATTGAAGGGTATGAAGATCAGCGAGTTTGGCAAATTAGTGACGCTGCTTGGGTGATGGCTTTCGAAATAGAAGGCGGTTATGTAGAAAAAAGCTTGTCGATTTACGAAGATCCTATGAAAACATTATACCCCTTTGGATATGATTTTTCGAGGGAACATCGATCGAAAATATTCACCAATACTTAGGGCCAGGGGGAGGACTTTGATTTACAAAATTTTGAAGGATTTCATCTCGTTTTCCCAGCGGCTAATAGTTCAATACATCTTTCATTGCTTGATTCTTATCCAGACCCTTCTCGCCTCTTGTAAATAAGAAAGGAACACAATAATACAACAGCACATATTCTCCGATCTATTTAATAATGTCATGAACGACACGCTGTCCACAAAAAAAAAACCGCCGCGTGGACTGCTCGAGTGTTGTATAATGTGGTCGTGATTTTGCGCTCAGTTGAATGTAAGAAGAAAAAGAAGGAAATGATAAAAGAAAATGGTGGACCTCAGCGTCATTGTCTGGTTCGAAGTTTATTTCGCATATGCAATCCTTGGTTGATGATATTAGAAGAAAGCAAGGATCCTAAAACGTGGTGAAGTTCAATAGAGTTCGGAAGTGGACCGCGAACCATGTTGAAGTACACCAACTCAGAAAGTAATGATTTTTCTGAGAGCTGGAATCCAACGCACATCTGACGTAGACAAGGTTCTCATGAACATGCTGATTTACAAAAATCAAGAACGTGAGCACAAGAGGAGCATTGAAGGACTCAACTTTAACAACATGAGCCGTTTCATGACCAATCGTTTTCAAGACAAGGTTCTCATGAACATGCTGAGTTACAAAAATCAAGAGCACGAGAGTAGCGTTGAAGGACCCAACTTTAACAACATGAGCGGTTTCCTGACCAATCGTTTTCTAACCAGCAGATAGAGGCATCTGTAAATCGAAAAATTATATATCTAGAAGATACTTTCACAGTACTCATGGTCTTCCCAAAGGTTTCAACGAGACTGATAAAGACCTTTCATGAGCTACCTCAGATGAAGATCGTGACCGTCTGGGATGAAAATGGAATGTATGTGCCATTAAAAAGAGAAAAGTATCTTGATAGGTAAAACCATCAACAGAAAGTAGGTTCCAACTGCAGCAGAGTGAAGGAAAAAGTGAGTTCGATGTGGTCTCAGATGAACCATTGCCTCTTGTCTGTTTGATGGGGCGATTCTCGATTTCGCCCCTTGAACAATGTAATGTAGTCAGATATAGTTTGGATGCATAAAAAAAAAGAGCTGTGGAGCTCGGTAGGTAAGAAACTGACAGAGTAGGAACTCTTAGCGACGAATAGATTAAGCGCTGTAGCACCTGGGACGCTTCTATTTTAGAGTGGGAACTGCGAAACTGGAGTCTTTTATAGCTACTTCTTTGTCAATCATATTGAATTCCCTATAAACTTTGTTTGCCTCTGCCACAGTCGAGTGTAATAATGTATCTGGCTTTCTCTCTCTTTCTTTTCAGTCCGGAATTTGAATGTACGAAATCCTTCATGGCATATCTTCAGCTTGATACTTTAGTACAACATCATTGTCTGCCGTCATTATTCATCCGACAAAGCAAACAAGAGAATGATTCTGAACGGGGTATTACATTTACAGACGGATGTTGTTATGGTTGAAGTCAATGTTTATTATTTGAATGCTCTGGCAAGTGGTTGAACTTTTCTGTGCGCAGCTTTTCTGTTCATTTCGTTTCTTTTAAAGTCTCGTTGGCTGTTTGTGGATCCACAAGCAGCTGGGAAAGTCCAGAGAACGTGGTAAGGAGTTTTCATCGACGTCAATCCTTGAGTTTCCCAATGTCATAAATGATATCAATATATAAAGGCAGGATTAGAATTGGCAAATATTGTTCGCTTTAGAGATGGAAATTCATGCAGGCGTGAGGCCTGGATCGATGAAATCTAGGGCATGCAAATATGCAAGCTCTTTAATAGGCCAAGAGGTCATCTACTGATGAGTATATATTTTGTGTACCTTACACTATTGCCAAGGTGTATATTCAAAGAAGAAAACGTAAAACAAGAGAGAGTACATAGTAGTGTAAATGAATATCCAGCTAACTAATTTCCGATGTCAAACAGATTGTTAAAGTGTGGCTGTAGCTTATAGAGTCACACCAAGTAGAGGTAGAGGGAGGGGCCAATTGGGGAGCTGGGGAGAGTAGAATAAATGCATGCCAAATGAAAGGACTTTCAAATATATCGATGTTTGAGATCAGCAGGGCACCGCGACGTTGGAGAGGCAGATTTCCTTCCTGTGAACTACATACTTTCAAAGTGTCATGCAAAAGGGCTTGTCCAGTAAGTACAGACTACCGCAGCAATATCTTGGACTGACTTCCCCTCTCAAGCCACACTACTGTACTTACTTTCAAAGTATCATGCAAAAGGGCTCGTCCAGTACGTCCAGACTACCGCAGCAATATCTTGGACTGACTTCCCCTCTCAAGCCACACGTGAAAATGGCACCCCACCAGACCGCATGATTAGTGGGCACTAGAGAGGCTTGCAAGAACCGATGATAAAAGCTACACCGTTGGTCCTGATTGCTTGTCCTGGAAAGCGATGGATTCCGTTGGAAAGAAGATGCAGATCAATCTGTTGGAGCTTGTGGAGCTCTTTATTCGAGTCTCATGGCCATCTGTGGTACACCTGCTCATCACAGTTCCGGTTTGTCCACTTTTCGTGAAGCTCGGGTGATGCAAATGAAGCGTGACACTATGTTCTCACTTACAAGAGCCCTTTGCTTTCATTAAGTCGGAACTAGCACAAGCATCTCGTGTGAATAGATTTATTATGGATCTATTAGGCTCAAGAATGACCCAAATTCCAGATTTCATATTTGATAAACTTTTGGTAAGAGTGGACGAGGTGGAAAGGTGCAAGGTGCAGACTGTTTACGTTGAAGTCGAGATTTGCTACCAGGTTATTACTCTTTGCAGTCAGTCAGTCTTTGCTCCCTATTGCAGCATGGTTATTAATAGGTACGAAGGTTTTCCAGAATTCTCAGTAAAGTTTCCTGGTAAGTGGCTTTAGTGGTGTGCAGAATTGTAAATTCCACAATGAAACGGAATACAAGAGATGATGAGGTCTGAAGAGAGGCTCATATATATACAATCGATGCACTCACTAAAAATAGTGAGGAGCAAACTACACCACCTAAACAGGTCCACGGTGGTGTCCCTTCGATACACGAAACAACAACTAAAGATAAACTCTACCCTATTACTAACGCTCGTGCATTGCATCAACATCTTCTCTTGCATCAGACATATAACAAACTCCTCAAATTTCAGTGAGGTCTTCAATTCTTCAATTTCATCGGCAGTTCCTCCTCTCATTTCGGACAGCAACTTCACAATGCCAATTTCCGAAGACCATATATATACGGCCACCTCTTCATAGTATCTTCTTCAGCTTACTCCTCTTCGAAGAAGAGCGTGTGTATTCTCTGCATTGTGTCTATTCTTCTCATATGGAATCTGGAGTTTATAATTTGGACATCGTCATGGCTTGTCCAATACTCATCACTCCTATCCTATGCCTCAAGCTTTGAAATTTGACTTTTCCTAGCGGATTTGTGAAAATATTAGCTAGCTAGTTCGTAGTGATAACATGGTGAATGTTAATTTCTCCGAATATGATCTTCTCTCTTACAAAGTGATAATGAACTTCTATATGCTTAGTCTGCGCATGATACACAGGATTCAATCTTCATGCAACTCTCATTGTCTACGAAAATGGAGTTTGTTACCTGATCAGATGATTTTATTTCCTTGAACAATT